TCTAGTGAGCACACGCCACACACAAAGACGTCATTATGACATCAACATTAAAAAAATGAATTTAAAAAATACTTGAAACCAGCTATAAAATTTAAATACCGTAGTAAAAAACAAATATTTTTCAGGAAACGGTACAATATCATTTTAATGAAACAAGAACTATTTATGTTTGCAACGAAAGCGTTTCATTACAGCAAAACTATTTTAATTCGTCATTAAAGTATGCTAAGTGCGACGCATCGTTGCGGGTTGGAATGAAGCACTTAAGTGATGTTTCCCTCAAATTACTCACAGAACCGCGTAAACAAAAATAAATTTTGAGCTCCAGTTCACATTAGAGCAAGCAATGCGAGTTGTACCCACTGAAGAGTACTTGAGTTATCTATTATTTCGCCAAGTTCTGCACTGTACTTACAGCTAAAGATTCCAACTCTTCAGTTTTGTTTTAAACAACCGTTATCCATACGGAACGGATTCGTTTAAAAGAACCATTAAATACGAATCAAAAGGGTAGTAGTTGTTGAAATAATCTACTTCAACTCTATGTTACAATAGCATACGATTTATAGGTATGTATTAAAAGAATCCATTACACTATAATTTACTAAGAATATTTGTTTATGTATTAAAATAATTCATTTAAACGCCGGTTTACGGATTCAATTTAGGTACGTAATTACCTACATATTGTCACTATTAGCTGAATTTCTGTCATAGCTTATTATTAGGTCACATAATACTACTTTATGGATTATATAATTTAAATTAATCTGTACATTTGTGTTCATTACAAAAATTGTTTTATTGGAACCGTTAACCATACCAACATGTTTTTTCTACAATTACGTACTTATTTACATCATAAAACTGCGTTTTCAAGTTTATAGTTTTATATTTGATTGATTTTGTAGCTAAAATTTAATCTGTACATTTGCATTAGTTACCAAATAATTTTAAATTATAACCGTGATCTATACAAGAAAATATTTTTAAATTACTGCACATACTTTTAAACTGTATTAAAGTGTATTATTTTATATTTCCATTGATTTTCAATATAATCATTGCTTAAAAATGTGTAAAATCTGGAGTAGCAAAATATATTTTTAGCTTATGTCCTGATGGTAGTATTATTAAATTATAATTTTTAGAGGTGCACCTAAATAGCATTGATATTTTGCCAATTAATTTTATCGTTAAGGAAAATGTTCAGTCGTGTATAGATGAACCCTACTCACAATGTTAAAGACTTATCCTATACATTGTTAATTTTAACGATACTAACTATTTTAGTGATTTAGTGTTATTCATGATTTTCCAAAAGTATTTCATATTTCTTGTACTACGGAACCATCTTTGTCGCTTTTGCAAAGCGTTACGAAGTTTCTGCTTGTTGCAATAGTTAGGATGAGATAGTTCAGGAACACCCTATACAATGAAACACCAGACTCCAACACTTTTAAAATGTATACCATAATTTTAATCACATCACCGCCAGTTCTATATTCCGATTCATCCCCGTGAGTTATGCAGAGCCTTGGTCTAGTGTTCTAATTTAGCACGTCTCTCACTTAACACTTCTATATCTAGAACACAGCTGTCTCTTCCTCCTCTTCAAAGGGTCACTTATTATAACCGCAAATATATTTCCACATTCTTGCAAAACATGAAATCGGAATGGATATTCGCGGAGAACAGTGGGAAAAGAGCGCATCCGAAACGTACCGGTTTTTAGCTTATTCCGTATGGAAATTCGCTAAAAACAAAAATTAATTTTAAAACTGTAATATAGACACGTTTATTTAAACTGTGATTGATCTGTAGAATAGTTTTTACATGAAAACACTACAATTAAAACACTTGTTATACAGTACTACTTTCAGTCGTCTCAACGCAAGTATATTCAGTAAAATTGACCTAGGAACGGATCTGTAATTATTTTACAAGTTATTGGTCGGTCCATTTACTCGCATTCATAACAGTCCTATAGGTTACTAACTATTTTAATTTACAAGAAAGATTGTTTCTTCATAACCTCGTTACTAATAATAATTCGTGTATCCATGCAAAAAATAGTAGGATATTTATTTAGAAACGTTGTCGAAATAGTAAACAATTTTCTTTGTATAAGTTATAGCCTAAATCTATTTTTATTACCCTTGCCGTTAGGTTTTTCCCTTTTATTTCCAATAATATTGCATATTTGGGGATTCCTGGCAAAAATGACTCGGAAATAAATGTTGAAATTATTATAGCCTAAAATAACTTCATTTGTGTACTTTTGAAACCGCAACCTAGACAAAAATTGCATTCATTATTGTTTTTTTACAGAATTTACGTGTCACTCAATACACCCACGTATTAAATTGAAAATGAATTTAGGCTATTGATACTTTAAATACATTTTGGGTTTGTAAACAGGTGTTAAAATACAATGAATTGTGTTTAAAGTACCAGTACGGTAGTTATTTTGTGTGGCTGAAAAATAACATCGACAGTAGACCTAATTAATGTAGCTAACAGTTTAAATAGGTAGCTCGCAAATTTAAACAGCTAAATTTAATTGCATAAAAATAAAGATGTTTACTTCACTCAAAATAATACGTACTACCTACTAATTTTTAATCCCATTTAGGGTGTACACCCGAAAATCAAGTATTACCGGTATTTCATTTTATTATAGGCCTTGCATTTACGTAAGAAGTTATTTATTTTTCTAGAGTAAAGATAAAATCTGTTAACAGTGACGATTTCTAACTTGATTTTTAACTAAAATAAATTAGGTAAATAGATGACTTTGTCATTTATCAAATATAGTAGTAAAAGATACGAACTAAACATGGACAACCATTCTTTTTAGCACACTTTTATTCATTTAATAAGGTTACTTGGACGCATTGCTATTCAGGTTTTTAATAATTAAACACGTTTATGGTGGTTTGAAAATAGCTTACATGTTTTCATTTTGAGTAAACAAATTTGGGTTAGGTTAGGTTAAGCTAGGAAGGCTACTATAAAAGAGAAAATGGAGAAACGCTTTTATATATATTTTTTATATATAAATTTCAATCTCTTGATGATTGTTTATAATGTGCATTCAAACGATAAAAGTATAGTTTACATTATATTTTTTAAAAGGTAAATAATTTGTAGTACTTTTTTATTTAAAGATCTTTCTAGTGGTCACCAATATCTGCGTGTTTATTACATTGTACGTAATGAGTAAATGTAACTTTGTTAATTTTCTTTATGAAACATTTACCACCAAAACAAAGAAACTCGCAGTTCCACATCCGTACATTCCAAACCGATTTACCTTAATCTCTCCATTGACAAACACAATCGTGTCTTCAATCAAAGCTTATGATTGTGGAGCGAAGTAAACAATAAACAATGAGGCAAATTAGCGTCGAACATTTCCATTCCTGAGGAGTCTATAATGTTTGTAGACGTGAACGTGATACGTGACAATCGCCCAAAACTGTGGTCCGTCGTTCCGTCCGTGGGAAAGGAGCACGTAAAACCCACGGCAAAGTCATCACATTATGCAATTGCCTCTAAGGCCAAGCATAATCTACGTGGCTTACACGGATTCCTACGTTTTTATTACGATAATTACATATTCCTCGATGGAAGAGGTAGTAAAGACCGGGGCTTAGCATGCAGGTATTGTTGATATAACCGTCGAGAGGAATGTATTTGCATACAGAAATTTAACACCGCCGATCATGTGAAGTGAAGCTGACCAAACACTTTGAGCTCTCAAGTTACTCCTAAACCTAACATCGAGACCAAACAACGCCATCATATTTAATCGCTGTTTGACTAAGTGTCAACACACAAAAACTAGTTACTTAATATTACAAAAGTAAGTTAAAATAAAGTCGAGAGTGTTCCATTTAGAAGTTAATATACACTCTCGACAATGTTTAAGGACAGTGTGATTAGGCACCGTTAAATGCAAATGCGTTTGAAAATCCATGAATATAGGATTCTTCTTAAAATCATAATTGATCAACTTTCTTGGTACTTATTGTAAGAGAACGTAAATCAATAAACATTAATATAAGTAGGGCCTACCTAAATATACCACGTCGCGTATGAAGAATGTAACAGAACTGGATTAATATTGTTCTGTGATCTTGAAGTTAACAAATTCTTAAATAAAACATAAGAGGTTATCTAATAGTGGAAGGATGCCATTGAGCGGACGGTAGGCCGGTTTGGAGCTGGGAGCCAGTATGCTCGAAACATTAAGAAAAAGTTCAACGACACTTAGTGCTGCAGCGCTAAGTGCCTACCGGCAGATCTAATGTGTCCGCAGCAAAAGTAGACCTAACCTCTCATCCTACCACCCCTTTCACTTTTGTATTAAATTAAATGTTCGATACATGTTGTTCGATAAATTAAGTTTCTAATCGTAATGATTAGGTACGAAAATCAAACAAAAACAAAACACACTAAACAGATGTTTACTAAAGGTTAGAAGGATGTTATTGGAAAAGTAATAACACGGTACCGTACAACACAATACAGGTTTAGACACACACTTAATAATAGTCAAAATAAAAAAAGCTTAACTAAAACAGATGTTTTATGCACCTCTGTGTAACAAACATGGCTGCTGGAGTCTACTTGTTTTGTACCCAGTTCATCGAGTAAAAATAGTGTAACTGATATGTAATCTGACACATACTAAACCAATTATGAATTAAAGTGTTGTTATTTATTTGTTTTAAACGTATAAAACACATAATATATACATAAGAGTAGAGAAATTACGATTTATCGAGCAAATATGGCAGAGAGATCAACGAATACTAACACACATCATTGATTGTTTATGTTTCAGTATCAAGCTGAATAAGAGATGATTGTATTAATGTTTTGTCAATTAATTTTCTATATTAAACAATAACCACTGAATAATTAGGTACCCCACACTAACCTATTTAAAACCTTAATACTATGTAAGCCTTACAAGGTAACTTATTACTCACATTGGATTCGTCGTGTTCCAATGGACGTAGAATGATTTGGTGCAGTCGCTAACTGTCGATAACAGAACAGTTTCAAAACATATTAACAACACTAGTGTGAGACAGGATGTGACTTTAGCACAAGGCAAGAGGACAGGTCGCGTCGCGGGCGACAACAGCCTCGCCAAACCAGCGGCCAGGGGAAACGACATCACATCCCCGAGTACCATGTTGAGGACAACTCTTGCCTTTACTGCGACCAGGCTAAGTGAAGAGGTTTACACACGAGATCCCGCGTCTCGTAGAAAACATCTAAGGGACAATTCCACTATCGATTCCATGTTGTAAACACATATCCCGAGACCCTTCGCCTCGTAGACACACTCCCGAGTAGGATTTCACATTTGCGGTGACACAACACTAGAATCCGAGTGTCACAGTAGTGTATATGACGACGACAGCACTCACTTCACTCAACTATCTAGTTATAACCGATGTAGAGAGCACAATACCGATACGACAGCTTGGTGCTGTGAAACGTTCTGCCATTCGCACTCGCCTGTTTCTGTTACACAGAGCTCGGTGTCGTGGAGGGGGAACTTCTATGGCCGTCCTGCGTTCAGCGCTCCTGCCGGCACCCCAGACAACTAACCGCATGAATAATGGATCGCCTAACAGCTATACACATCTTTTTTTACTGTGCCGTTATTTTATTTTTTTGCCAAACACAAATTCTCCTCCTTTTTGCTAGTCTCATTGATTATCCTGAGGACAAGGATGTAAATAGCTGCACTGTTTTTTAATCGGCTATTGTGTGATCAGGTGATAAATGTAAGAGTTTTATATAAAATATCCAATTAAGTGGAATATTTGATAAGTCTTGCCTATTCATGGTTGGTCGCTGGTAGGGTTACCATTTACAGCTTTCTTGGTAACTTCCTTAAAACACGTCTAAACTACTATTCACTAGTTTTTTACGTTTACTTTCCTTTCAAAACCCTTCCTAGGCTTCAATGCACCCGTGTAATCTACTGTTTAAACGTTGATTTGTGGAAATGTATTATGTTATTAGTGAAAGGAAATACTCAATCCAAAAACAATTTATGTTCAAAGCTTATCTTAGGTGCTCTATTTTGACGTAGGCCCTTTCCGAAAACGAACTATTCGTACCGTATATCCCATTAATTTTTTCCCAAGATTAATCCACTAAAGGTTTGTTCCGAACAATAAGTTGTTATCTAAAATTACAAAAAAAAACCTTTATTGGCAGATAAAAGCGGCTCAGTGGCGCTGAAGGTGGCCACAGTCATACATATCATTAACAATTCAACAATTCTCTTATTTTATTAATATACTTCTCGTTAAGATTGACCGACTCAGTGGCGGCCACAGGGGGGGGGGGTTGATGGGAGGGATATATAGTTTTATTATATAGCGTTTTACCGGAAAACAATAAATGTTATTGTTAAGTTCAAATGGGACCCAATTAAAAATTTTTAACCGCCTAATCGTAGCGTTATATTGAATTCGTCGTACAGTTATATATATAGTTTACCAATTTAAAATTTTGGTTGAAATATTGGTAACACAATTCCACACCAAATATACGTTAAACTCTTTCAATAAATATTTATTATTGAATTGTGTGTGTGAAGACAAAATGAACTAAACCCTTGAAACTGTAAACTTTAAGTTGTTAGGGTTAAAATAAAAACAGGGTTTAATTGAACTCCGTCAAATTGTACAAAAATTATTCAGCTTTCGTGTTTCGTCGTTATGAAAAAAAACTTTCAAAACTTTGAACTTCGTCACCAATATAATCAAAATACATCCAACACAAACATAAGTACGGAACGTATACACAACCCTTAGATAGCGATATCATGATTACTATTTCCTGCGCGGTGCGGGGTTGGTAGGAGACAAAAACATATGTACGATTTTTTTTTGTTAAATTCTTTAAATTGCATATGATCCACTAAAAAGTTGAGTTTGGTGACTCTACAGCCAATAGTATCTCATTCGAGTTTCGCAACCTCGTATGTTAAATTATGTTATGTTATGTTTAATTATATCATTGTACTAAAGTCCCTCAATAATCCGACTTAAATGGACGGTCGGTAGGCAGGATTTAAGATATGGCCGGACCATCGAGAGGAGATTTAAATTATTGAATTAAAGTGACCATTGTTTAGTTGTTGAAACGGCTTAAGATCCTGCAAAATGTTAAAACCAACAGCAACGCTTTGATGCACTGCCGTGGGTGAGATCCGTCTTTCGTCCCCAATCCATCGCCACTTGCCAATACTTTCAATAGTGCATTGCATATTACCATTGACAATTGGATATTGAAGTAGACATACCATCTATATGGATTGGCTTTCGCCAATTGTTTATTAAAAGAGAAAGTTGTGTGAAACAATCGCAGAATTCGCTATTATCTAAAAGTATATTTATTTCCTAACTTATTTTTTGTTGCTAACATAGTTTACAATGTACTCACAAATTACAAAAATATCCTAAAATTTTCATAAAAATTAATCAAGCAAATCCGTTATTTGAAAAAAATCCTTTAGTTGCACTAAAATACAATACACAAAATTAAGCAAAGAAGAAATCCAGAGTATCAAAATTCACAGGTACGTATTTTACATATTTTTTTGTTTTCTTTATTTGATTATAACCTGATTATGACTTAGAGTTGACACTAGTTGTTCATTAATAAAATTATTTTAAAATAGTACTAGTGTTTAATAAGTGTTCAACTACATATAGTAGCCCCAATCACAGAATTTGTTTTTCAACAAATATACTTTCAATGCTGAGGTTAGGATGTTTAGTAGCTGAGATGTATTATGGTGACGACGACATAAACAATTAAATTGCAGACTATAAAATTGGAGAATAATAAATACTCCATTTACACACCTATCTTCATAAATTAATAATTAGCTTATTTTGTTTTTTAACTTCGTTTTTCAGTTCACAGCCATTTACATGTAGCCTAACAGTTAATTTTACCTACATAGTCATATTTCCTGTTGGTCATTATTTAATTATAAACTTATTCTGATCCTTTTTTGTTTACTTGTCTTCCGGAGTGACTAATAAAAGTGGAACGAGTGGAACAGTAAAATTTTGAGAAATCAGCTGTTTTGCAAACTAGTTCCTGAACATAATGATACTCTGTGATAACTGTATACACAATTATTTTGCACTCCTCTGTAATTTTCGATGTTTGTTGCGTATGTGAAACGTGAACTTGTGACTTGTATCAATGCATACACGCCTTTTGGCAAATTTCCTATATAAGGAATAAGCTATTATCGTAGTACTCATGGTAAGACCTGGACCCGGGACCGAATTACTTTTTCGTTTTGAGGTCCCTAGAGGCCAAAAACACCATTCATTCAAATGCATATATATATATATATATATATATATATATATATATATATATATATATATATATATATATATATATATATTTGTATATGCGTCCGTTAGCGTGATAACTCGAGCAAAAATAATCCGATTTTGATTAAATTTGGTACAACCGTGTAAAACTACATTTAATCGAACGAGTTCGCTAACCAGCATGATCGGACAATGGGAACGGGTGTTTATGGGGGGTTTTATGTCGTAAAAATTGGTTATCCCCAGTTTTTACCCTAAAAACAACAAAATAATTAGCAAATTCTTTCCAAAACATATTGTAGAGCTTACACAACCCTTGACAACTTGCACACAATAATTTAGTATTGAAGCGTTGCTATGCGCCTAATAGTTACCGAGAAAATTCCAAAATATTGTAAATTTAAAATTTCCATGTTATACTTATGGAGAATAAGTAAACTGTTGTAGTTTGCTTGTTTATGAACATATTTTGATAAAATTTGGAAAATGCATTTATTTCTTACTAAACTATTAACATAAAAAACACACTTTTACCCTCCCTGTTGCAGCAAACCTAAGTACTCCGTAAACCCATTCTATTTAAATATGGAATAAATGTGATATTTTTAAGGAGACATTTTAATGTAAATACAATCAGGCGAATGGTCTGGAATGCGCTTAGTCTGCAGGTTTACTTCTGCGGGAGTATTTCATCGTTTGTATACAGTTTGTGTTTTGCATCTACTCTCTAAGGGTTGTACTGTACGTAGCCTACAATGAATACCTCGGGGCAGATTGTGGCAAGGAAACCCACAGGAAATACTTCATGTCCAAAGAATACTTCAAGACTTGACCGGATTTCCTTGGGAGTATTCAGCATGAAAAACGCGTCTACCAATTGCTGTGATTAATTGATCGAATGTAGAAGGAATCCACCCAAAGCCGCATACCGCTCGTCGGCCGCCGCCGCGTGTGCGCGTGCTGGTAGGTGTAGATGCTTTGTCGTCACATACAACACACGTCGTGCATCGCTGTGCCGCATCGAGAAATTAATAAGTAAAAAACCAGTTTGAATAGTTTTATTCGGTGTATTCAACGCCTCGGCAGGCCACTCGACTCGTTGCAGTTGCAGCTTGTTGAACCTGAACGTATCCCAGCGTAAATGAAATTCAGTGGCGCGTGTTATTGATATTGAAATTGTGAATCTTTTGGTTTTGAAGAGTGCAAGTGCGAAACACATCTGCCACATGATGACAAAGTTTCGTTTTGTATTTGTATCATAAAAGATAATTGTTACCCGTAAAAATAATGAGTAGACCGGGATTGCGCCAGATATGTCAGGGTTAAAAAGGGTTAGCCTGGCATGCACTCTGATTGCACCAACGCTACCCCAGGTAGCCAGGTAATCGGACGGAAGATGGAATGTAACCTAACCTAACCTATAATGATGGGAAAAACTATAGTTAAACTGTGGTTTTAACTGCCGAATGCCGCATTGGCGCAATGACGGTGCATTTTGGAGGGGTAGACTTAGCAGTGGCGCTTTGTGTACCTATCCCTAGTGGCGCAATCCCGGTGAGCCGAAAATAGTGACAGATATGAAAAAATAATTCATAACTAGGGTTCATCACTAGGGCCTGAAGTCATTCCGACACAAGCTTCAGTTTATCGACCAATGGGACGACGAGAAAAATGCACTAAAATTAAAAATTTGTTTGGATCTTAACATCTTTTACCCGTTTGATGAACTATATTTTTGTCATACAACACCATTATTAAGAACTAAGCTAAAACGCAAATTTGTTCTTTCTATGACTTTTTTAATTTTTGATATTGTAATATTGACGCATTCAATTACTTGTATGTAATGATTGTGTTAGCATAGGGACCTACAACACTAGACTAGGTGTGTATATTCGATGCTGCAAGTAAATGTATTAGAACTATTTCAGCTTTCGATTGTAATTATGAATACTTTCTATCTATTGTTTATCGCTTATTACTAAGCAAAATTTAAATTTTGCATCAATATTCATTGATATGTTAATATTTGTTTTTTGTACCTAGGCTAGTAAAAACATACGCGCTGCATGTTAAATTATTATGCTATACTATTTTGTATTGTTAAGTTGTGGTACGATTCTTTATAGCAACACAATGGTGGAT